TCACCTGATATGCCAGCTTTGCAGCTGACCATAACAATAGTCAAAACATGAAGAAAGTCAAGGTGTGTGGCTGTTGATTAGTGATGTGTATCTAAGAACATTTTGACATGACATTACACATAAGAAAATATTATGATTACCATTACAGTTACACATATCATAATAATAGCAATAACCTCCTGCCTGTAAACTGTCTCTATTTAGTTGTCCTTGGCCTATATGCAGCCTGCAGAACTCATGAGAATGACTAAGCATTTAACAGCCTGAGCATAGACAGCCTAGCACAGGATTACCGCTGTCAGTCCGGGACATTACTCAGGAAATGGACCGGTCGTCCCACAAAGTTCGGCTGGTCCACGGGTCAAACGGCACCAGTGGGTTGCTGGGTAAGCCCCCTTACTGGAGGCCTAGAAGCTCTCTGCTGATGCTGGGCTGAAGAGCAGAAAAGAGTTTGCTCAAAGTCTCTTAGGGAGGAACAGCTGAGGGCCTGATCCACATCCAGGACTGCTCTGAAGGAGCTTGCATATCTTACACGGGAGAAATATATATGAAATAAAGTTTGAATGATTGTGTTAATATTGCATTCATGAAAGTGCTACAACTGCTGTTAATACATGTTGATGTTGTGCTTTCTCACCTATTAAGCTGCAGTTTTCTGTGAAATAGCGCCCCCCAGCGATAAACTGGAGGCATGGCAGTTTCAAACCACAGCTGGCCCAGAAGCACAGGTGAGATGGCTGCAGCTGCAGTCAGGTATGTACCTGATCCACACTCCCCCAAGTAGGAAAGAAGGACCCCTGAGCCTGAACCCTCACTCACTGCAACCAGCACAGAGGATGGGTGGCGGCTGTGGATGTAAGCCACGGCCTAAAATTGGGTGAAATCAAAGACATCATCACCGCCAGATTTAAAAAACAAAACACACTGACTCAAGGGACCACAGAGCAAAGTGGCATTTTTAAGCAAAGTGGCATTTTTAAAAACATACGAAAGCAGAAAACTGTCACATTTGAAGAAAAGAAGGTAAAACGTTTTAGGGGTGTTTATGCTAAATAAATGACTGAACATGATTAATTAAAATTGTTAGCTATTCATTTTCTGTCCAACAATTATTCAGCAAAACAAATTTTTAGTTTCCTCTAAACATACCATGATTTAAAAAAAAAAAGGCATTTCCATCATTTGTGACTTGCAAGAAAATTTTCCTTCTATACCTGCTCAAGATCTGCTGGGTCCCCAAACTCAGTGAGCCGTGCTGTGGTCAGTGGGCACCCTGCTGTGCCTCGGGGGTGAAACACCACCACATAAAAGCCCTGACGCGTGGCTTGATGGCACAGCGCTTTCAAGTGGGAGGTCATCCCTCCCCAGAACTGAGGAATGAGGAGCAGGATAGGAGGTGTCAAGGTAAAGCAGCCTAGCACCTTACCCGCTGACTGATGCTCCTTCCTCCCCTCCCACTTTCTCCACCTGTCCGTCTCTCCCAGTCTTGTCCCCACAGCCCAGTCCAGAGCTACAATTCCCCCATCTCTTAATAACAGGTGATCTCTGGTGAACTGTAAGGTGTTGCTAGGTTGTCCACACACCAAACTGGACAGAGTCTGAAGATGGGGGTCTCCCCTGGGCCAGGCGGCCAGTCTCGGCTTGGCCAGAGAGCCACAGTGCTGGAGCAGATATTTGGCCAGTGCAGTGGGTTTGCAAACAAGTTGTGGTTCACCTGAGGTCTGAACCAACCCAGACAATAAACCAGTCCCCGGTGATCCGGCCTCCTTAATCCATGTTCTTGAGTGTTTGTCCAGTGGCAGCTCCAGAATCAGGCAAGTAATGAGCCAGAGTCCCCAGCTTGCAGCACTGACAGCCAGCCTTGTCCAGCAACGCACAGTGGGCCAGCGGCGAGCCAGACACGACAGGAAAAGGAACAGGGATGGGAGCAAAGCGAACAAACAGTCCCATACAGGTGGAGCCATTGGTAAATACAAAAGACTGTAGTTCAGTGTAAAATCCAATGTGTTTTCTGAGCTTTGCTGTGATTTCTCAGTAACCTCTGACCCCCATATTTTACAAAGTTGTCAAAGAATAGTCATGTTTTCCCCAGTGTGTGTAAAAGAACTCTCTACACAAGACAAGACAAAAAAACTAAAGGAACAAGAAAAAAGAACCTAAGGACAGACTAGGTCCTATAAATTGTTTTCTTTCAACTCCTGCCGATCCTCCACAACCAGCCCTTTCTCCTCTCTCCATAAGTCATTTACTGCAACACAAGCACAGATAGAAACTGAGCAAACACGGGCCACATAACCTGTTATGTTAATTAATAACAGAAACCTGAGCAAACACAGGCCACATAACCTGTCCCGTTAATATTATCATAATTATCTTTAACCTTGTTCCATATCTGTCATTGTTTAGCCTTCTTACCCCAGTTTATCTTTGAATACTTTTTAATGTTAGCACAGTACAGTAGCTCGATCTGTATAGCACGGTCTTATGGTAGTATTACATGCTCCCCCTCATTTCAAGTTGTATAAAAGAGGACAAGGTCAGGGAATATAATAATAAAAACTCCTAATGACAGTTGAATAGTTCAGTACAATCACACCGAGTTGAGCAGGGCCATACATCATCAGCCTTCCACTTGTAAACTGAACTGTGTGTAGTGTAATACTGGGCACTGAGGGCATCCTGGTTACGTAAGGGTTGGAGCACTAACCGTTAACTACAGCGACCCTGATTCACTTCCGGGCAGGGATCTGTGTTGGATCTCATTCCCCGGCTCTGTACCACTTGCCCAGAATCTATAAAATCCATGAATATAGATCATGTTCATTTCAAAGGTTTAAATACTGGACACAAGATGTTTTCTACTTCAGTTTACAGTCCACTCACAGCATGCGTGCACTACAGGCATCAATATACACTATATTGCCAAAAGAATTCGCTCGCCTGCTTTCACATGCAAAATAATGTCTGATACGTAGAGGAACGGTTTTTTGTTACATTATGCAGAGCATATGACCCACATTTAACACATTATAATTTATTATTGTCTAAAAGTACCATAGTTTGTAACACAGAAAATAATTAAAAAACATGTACCAAAAAGTGTTTGTTAGTTTAGAATTCTGCCATGTACAAGACAAAGTGTGAGTTCATAGAGTTAAGATGAATTTTAAGTCTTTAGGCAGGAATAACACAGGACACAATATAAATAAACAGTAGGAAGCATATGGAGAGAACACTGATCTAGCATTTGTAGATGATCACAAATCAAGTGCTTTACATGAAGTACTGTGTGCTGATGTAGTAGATGAATACTACTGTAAAATCTTATCAGTTGTATTTTATGTCAGTGTTGGTCTCTGTGTTACCAAGTATGCAAAAAGCTTTTTAAAATGTTTTTATTATTTATTTTTGCAGGTGAGGTTCACAGTATATGGCTTTAACATTATTGTTATCTTTGATTAACATTTATTGTGTAGCTCTAAAATATCTGCTTCATTACATGTCTTTACCACAACACTCATACAAACAATAGCTAAAAATCTGTCCAAAAGAATAGATGCATGTATTTATTTAAGAAATAAAACATTCATCAGTATATTGTTATAATATTTTAATTGGTCTCAAACACTGATGTAGGTAACAGTCCTTAAAAACATCTAGCATCATTCAGGATCTGTTAGACAGACAAGTTATAATACCAACAGAAATATTCTGCTTCAAAAAATGTGAACAGATAAATAATATGTAAATAGTGTTGATTTAAAAGGTCACAAGATGTTTCAGTGTCAAGTCTAGTGTCAGAGTTTGTGCGCTAGAGCCTGACAGTTTCTATTTAGGTTGCCTATTGGACCACAACAAATATATGGAATCACAACTCCAAACTCCTGCAAATGAATGTGGAGACAAATTTCTAGTGTTTCTAGAATGACAAGCCTCAGTGCAGTACCCTGAAAATATACTTCTGTATCTGAAAAGTCCATCTAAACCATGTGTATAGACACATATATTTTATATTTATAAGTACTTAGTTTTTTGTTTTCCTAATGCAAATTCCTTTTGCTTATTTGCATATCCTTTTTGTTTTTTGTTCTCTCAGTTCTCTCAGACTTGTTTACTGTTTGCATTATGAAAGAACGTATGTGCACATTGACGGCCACTGTACTGGAGCCAAATTCCTTTTGTCCACCACACCCGGCCAATAAAGCCGGTTCTGATTCTGATCTACACAAACACAAGAGAGAAGCTATGGTTTAAATTGTAAACATACAGGCAACTTGAAATGGGGATGTTGGCAGCCTCTTTACCATAACACCAATACCATCATCTGCTGCTGACAGGTAGCCAACTCCAACTGAAAAAACAGGTTTCTTGTAAAACCCATCATAAAAGAAATGAAAATGAAAGAATTCAGCATGACTTGGAAAAGCTCTCTGTGGCTTGCCTTTTAACAAACCACTAAATTTCCATGTTGGGGCAGCAGTGGCTCAGGAGGTAGAGCAGGTTTTCAACTAACCAGAAGCTTGGCAGTTCAATTCCCTGCTTCTCCAGTCCACATATCAGTGTCCTTGAGCAAGACACTGAACCCCAAGTTACTCCCAGTGATGACACAGATGCATGAATGTGTGAGTGTTTGGGAGTGTGGATGGGTAAATAGTGTGATAGCACTTTGACTGTGCTACAATACATAGAAAAGTGCTATACAAGTATAAGACCATTTGCCATTATATAAGGCTGTGTTATCTGTCTGCAGCATTTGTTTTGGTTTTACCCAGAGCACCTAACATCCTTGTAAGGAATGTTGAGATGACGTCTAAAAGACATTTATGAATTTTCTCACAGAACATTCAGTATATGCAAAAGCCAGAGGAAAAATAATTGAAAACATAAAGCTTTTCTTAAGGTCACCAACAATTATTTCATAATTAAGTGAAATGAGTTGACAAATGTTGTGTATTTAAACTGTGGCATTATGGGTGTCTTGCAGCTCAGTAGTCTAAGGTGCATGTTAAAACACCACAGCAGTTTTGGTAGAGCATGGGACCTTTGGTCATCCCCCTCTATAGTAGAGGGCTAATATATTTTCCTTGGGCTAATGCTGCTTTGCAACCTGACAGGGTGTGTGCACAGCAGGAAAGAGATGCAAAATGGTTCTCATCTCATAAATCTGCCCATGTGATTGTCCTCTCAGGGAGGTCTTATCTGGTCCAAGTTTCCTGGGACACTAGTTTCACAGTCCTTGTTTTTTTGTCCCTCTTCCTCCAGGTTCTGTACTTCTTCCTGAATCATGGCTCATCTCTCCTTAGTGGTTGCCTTCCCACATTGTTTTAAATGGAAGTTTAAACAAAAGAAGAACAAACAAGCAAGAAAAAAAATAAATTAATTAAGGCTGATAGCCCCTAAATAAGCTTTGAATAATTTTTCCAAACAGCTGTTGACCAGGTCAAGAAAGAAGTGTCATGTCAGGCCATCTCTGCAAAATCATCTGTGATTTTAATTTTTCTGCCACTGTCTGTCAAACAGGTTCTACAGTGATGTCTTCGTTGGCAGTGTTGACTCTTCTGCTTCTGCAGACAGGAGCCCATGGCTTTGGGATAAATTTTTTTCAGGTCAGCTCCTGGACTCATCAGCGCATCACTGAGAGTGCGATCTTAAATGTCACTGTGCACGTGTGCCGCACTCTGGCCCTGGCTAATGGCAAAGACTTCACTTTTCCTGTAAGAATTTAAATCAACCAAATTATGACTTTTTAGTTCAAATCATAACTGCCTGTATTATTATTGTTAATTTATTGACTTGACAGTGTAATAAACGTGTGTGTGTGTGTGTGTAGCCACAGCTTTCTGCTGAGTCTGTTGCTGGTGCCTGTGGGGATTTAAAATCATCCAAGCGTTTTAGCAGCACAATCTCCAGGATCACACGCTGGAATGCAGAAACAGATATAGTTCATGTCTTCAGCTCAAGCCACCACTTTGACAATGAGAATTTTAGTGGGGGAAGACAACTCATCACAGAAGGATTATCAGTTGTGAGTGACAGCATCAACCAGCAGAACTTTGAGGCTGCCAGAAAAAACCTGGCAAAAGTAATGCACACATTACAGGTAGGCCACTTTCTGGTGTTGGCTTTATTTCTACTATAGTATTTTATACAGCCAATTATGTTTTGGTAGCATGAAATAAATTGAATTCTTGCTGAAGAGTTTTACAAGAAGAGTTGGATGCTGTGATGAACTTGTTGCAAATGTTTGTCTACCTTTAAAATCTGAAGGATTTCTACAGTCACAGTAACTGGGTGGAAATGGGAAACACAGTCCCAAACTCCAATCTGATCAGATCTGTCAGCACTGACATTGGCAAGATAGCAGGTAAAGAGATTATAAAGTATAATGTTGGTGTGTGTTTGGCAGTATATATATATATATACATAATTCCCCACTCGCCCCCCACTTTGGAGCGGTCTTATTCCTTCCTTCAAGCTCCTTCAAGAGGCCTGGGAGCTTGAGGGTCCTGCGCAGTATCTTAGCTGTTCCTAGGACTGCACTCTTCTGGACAGAGATCTCAGATGTTGTTCCTGGGATCTGTTGGAGCCACTCTCCCAGTTTGGGGGTCACAGCCCC